GGAGAGAAAGAGAAGGGAGGAGAGAAAGAGAGAGCATCAGAGACAGAGAGAGAAGAGAGAGACAGAGAGACAGAGGCAGAGACAAAGAGATACAGAGAGATGGAGAGGCAGAGAGGAGACAGAGACAAGAGACAGGGAGAAAGAAAGAGATAGAGAGGGGGAGAGAGAGAGACAGAGAGAGGCAGAGAGAGACAGAGGCAGAAACAAAGAGACAGAGAGAGATGGAGAGACAGAGAGGAGACAGAGACAAGAGACAGAGAGAAAGAAAGAGAGAGATAGAGAGGGAGAGAGAGAGGAAGAGAGAGAGAAACAGAGATAGAGAGGAGAGAAAGAGAGAAGGGGGGACAGAGAAAGAGAGGAGAGAGAAAAAGAGAGAGACAGAGAGAAAGAGACAGAGACAAAGACAGAGAGACAGAGAGAAAGAGGGAGAGATACAGAGACAGAGAAAGAGAGAGAGGAAAAAAAGGAGAAGGAAGTAGAGAGAGACAGAGGAGAGAGAAAGACAGAGAGACAGAAATAGAGAAAGGAGAGAAAGAGAGGGGAGGGGAGACAGAGAGACAGAGACAGACAGAGACAGAGAGACAGAAACAGAGATGGAGAGGAGAGAGACACACACACACAGAAGCAGAGACAGAAACAGATGGAGAGGAGAGAGACAGAGAGATACAAAAAAGAGAGAGAGAGAAGAGAGATGGAGTGAGACAGAGAGAGAGAGACAAAGACAGAGAGAGGAGAGAGAGGAGAGACAGAGGGAGAGACAGAAAGAGAGAGGGAGGGAGAGAGAGAGAGAGAGTCAGAGAGAGTCAGAGAGACAGAGACAAAGAGGAGAGACAGACAGACAGAGACAGAGAGAGGAGAGAAAGAGAGAGAAAAAGAGAGACAGAGACCAAGAGAGAGGAGAGAGAGACAGAGACAGAGGGAGGAGAGAGAGACAGAGAAAGAAGAGAAAGACAGAGAGACCGAGACAGAGGCAGAGACAGAGAAATAGAGAGAGAGATGGGGAGATGGAGAGACAGAGAGAGAGAGAGAGACGATGAGGAGGAGGAAGAGACAGAGAGAGACAGACAGACAGAAACAGAGAGAGAGGAGACAGAGAGATGGAGAGGAGAGAGACAGAGAGATGGAGAGGAGAGACAGACACAGACAGACAGAGGAGAAAGAGAGAAGAGAGGGGGACAGAGAGAGACAAACAGAGAGGAGAGAAAGAGAGAAAGAGAGGAGAGTCAGAGAGGATAGAGAGACAAAGAGAGACAGAAAGAGAGGAGACAGAGAGAGAGATAGGGACAGAGAAAGGGAGGGAGATAGAGAAAGAGAGATAGATAGAGACAGAGATGGAGAGACAGAGAGGGAGAGGAGAGAGAGGACCTTGGAAAGCTTTGGGCCACCTAGTCTGGGGTTGGGTTGATCACCCTCATTCCTTCACCTGGCAATCTTTTCTTGTCATGTCGTTGAGGACTTTGTGTATTCATTTCTCCCCATGTAAAGCAACCCTAGAAAACACATTTTTATTGTCTGGAAGATATAACCACGTGGCAAAAGGGAAAGAGTGTGGAGTTTGGAGGCAGAAGGCCTGGGTTTCTCCTTCATGTCATAGAAAAGAACAGAAAGAGACGGACAGAGAGATACAAAAGAGAGACAGAGACAGACAGAGAGACAGAGACAGAAAGAGAGGAGAGAGATAGAGTGAGAAAGAGAGAGAAGGAGGAGAGAGACAGAGAAAGGAGAGAGAGGAGAGAGAGACAGAGAGCTAGAGAGACAGAGGAGAGAAAGAGAGGCTTCCTCCTTTCTAGCTTGGGTTGGGCCCTGGTTGCAGACCCTCTGACCCAAGTTGAGGTGGCCTGGAAGGGACCAAACCCCTCCCCCACTCAGTCCTCAGATTGCTTGAAACAGCTGCTGGCATTTGGCCACTAGGTGGCAGTGTGGTGACCACGTAGCTGGACCATCCTTCCACTTGGAGTCATGGAGCCTCAGACCTGAAGGACTTTAGAGGCTATCTCATCCATCCCTTTCATTGTACAAAGAGGGAAACTGAGGCCTTGAAATGGGGAGGGACTCTTTCTCAAGGTCATACCAGAAGACAGAAGTAGAGCCGGTCCTAGGGTCCAAGTCCCACACCAGACTGGGGCACACCTGACCTCCTGAGTGACCTTGAACAAGTCCCTGGTTGGGGAGACCAGACACACACAACAAGAACCAAGTCTTCTCCCCGCCCCCCACTGCTGTCAGCTGATTCTTAGGTGTGATTGGAAGATGGATGTGGGGGGTGGGGGGTGAGGAGCCTGGAAAAGACTGGGGGGGGGGCGGGGCGGGACCGGACGATTGCCTTCAGGTCTTTGAGGTTCATCGTGTAAAAGAGGGATTAGCTTTGTTCTGCTTGCCGGGTCTAGGCACAGTGGGGTGGTGGAGGAGGAGCATGGCAAAGAGGCAGAAAACCAGAGTGAACCCCGAGTGGACTGGACTGCCTTGGGGTGCCCTCCTGGGGGTCTCCAAGTGGAGGTTCGGGATTGGCTTTAAGGTATTCTTGTCCAGATGTAGGTTGGTGATGCCAGTTGAGGTTCCTTCCAGCGTTGAGATTCTATGACTTTGTGAAAACAAGACAGATTTATAGGAGTCTGAGGACTTGGGTTCAATTCCCACCTTTGATACTTAATTACCTCAAGCAAGTCCCTTGCCTCAGTTTCCTCATATGTAAAATGAGCTGGAGTAGGAAATGGCAAACCACTTCAGGATCTTTGCCAAGAAAACCCTAAATGGGGTCACAGAGTCAGACACGACTGAACAACAACACAGTCCTTTCACTTCCCTTGCCTCAGTGTCCTCATCTGTAAGATGGGCTTTGAGGTCCCTTCCAGCTCCAAGGCAAGGGTCCTCTGATCCTATGAGCCCACCAATGTTAGGGGACCTTGAAGGCCCAAGCCAGACTACTGAGTGTTGGCTTCTAAAGGGGACACTAGGGTCCAACCATTCCAAATTTGGGTCAGGAGACATTGCTAGGGACCATCCCCTCACCTCTCCTTTCATCCCCCGTCTCTTCCTCTCTCCCTCCTCTCAGCCCTCCATGTCTTCCTCTCTCCCTCCTCTCAGCCCTCCATCTCTTCCTCTCTCCC